CTCAGCACCACATAAGCAAAAAGAAAAAAGCCGGAAGTGGCGCTGTGGCTCAAGTGGTAGAGCGCTAGCCTTGAGCTGAAGAGCTGAGGGACAGTGCACAGGCCCCATGACCGGACCCCCCCAAAAAAAGAAATGTACTCATTATCTTGCCCGTGTAATTGTAACCCCTCTGTACAGTATTTTCACAATTAAAAAAAAAGAATCTTAACCACCCTCGTTTTTCAAGGTGGTTTAAGTACGTGCACTTCCCATCTCCCTTAAGGAATGTGAGGAGAAATGGGGCATGCATTTGGAAATTTTTTGGAAAAACAAAGGAAAAAATTGGTAGAAAAATTTTGGAAGACACTGGGGAGGCTTGCCCAAGATTATTTTTCGGTTTAGTTCACTTTTTTTTTTTTTTGGCCAGGCCTGGGGCTTGAACTGGGGGCCTGGGCACTGTCCCTGGGTTTATTTTGCCATAGCATCACTTCCGGCTTTTTTTCTTTCTGTGGTACTGAACCCAGGCCTTATGCATGCTAGCAAAGCACTCTACCACTCAGCCACAAATTTTAAATTACAACCTAACTGGGCAAAAAGCAAGATTACATATAGGCTTTGTGGAGACCTGAAGTTTATTTAACTTGAAGGGTCCTCTTTAAGAAAAACACTGCCGGGTGCCAGTGGCTCACACCTGTAATCCTAGCTACTCAGCGAGATCTGAGGATCGTGGTTCAAAGCCAGCCGGGGTAAGAATGTCCATGAGACTCTCATCTCCAATAAAAACACTAGGAAACCGGAAGGGGCACTGTGGCTCTAGCAGTAGAGCGCTCGCCTTGAGCTGAAGAGCTGAGGGACAGTGCCCAGGCCCAGAGTTCAAGCTCCATGACTGACCAAAAAAAAAAAAAAAAACTCAAAGACTTTCCTGCTCAGGACTGGCTTGAAACCAAGAACCTTCATGTCTTTTCTGAGTAGGTAAGAGTAACCACCAACACCTGGCTCTCTACATTTTTGGCTGAGTATTATTAGCTTACTTCTTCCTATAACAACAATTCCCTAAGCAACATCATTTACTACAGGGTTTTATTGTTATTTGTTTATTTTGTTTTACTTTTTGCCAGTCCTGGGCCTTGAACTCAGAGCTAGGTGCTGTCTCTGACCCTCTTTGTGCTCAAGGCTAGCAGTTTACCACTTGAGCCACATCACCACTTCTGGCTTTTTCTGAGTAGTTTATGGAGATAAGACTTTCATGGACTTTCCTACCCAGGCTAGCTTCGAACCTCAGTCCTTAGGTCTCAGCCTCCTGAGTAGCTAGGATTGCAGACATGAGCCACTAGATTCCAGCTACCAAGATGCTTTTTTTTTTTTGGTCTGTCGTGGGGCTTGAACTCTGGGCCTGGGCGCTGTCCCTCAGCTCTTCAGCTCAAGACAAGCGCTCTACCACTTGAGCTAAGTGCCACTTCCTGTTTTTTGGTGGTTTATTAGAGATAGGAGTCTCACGGTCTTTCTTGCCTGGGCTGGCTTTGAACCACGATCCTCAGATCTTAGCCTCCTGAGTAGCTAGGATTATAGGCATGAGCCACCAGTACCAAGCTCTACCAAGATTCTTAACCTTCTTACATCCTACTCATCAGCATAATCTGTAGGAGCTGCCTTAAAAATCTGTCCAAATGCCGGGTGCATAGATGTTTGTCCACCTGTTCATGGATGTATTTCAGCAGCAGAGCACAGTGTGCCCTATAGTAGATGCCCAACAAAGGTTTGTTGAATGGAAGGAAATTTTGTTTTTTGTGTTTGGGGGAGTGGAGGTGGGAGTGGGGGTGCCATTACCTACTGGGGCTTGAACTCAGGGCCTGAATGTTGTTCCTTAGTTTTTTCTGATCAAAACTAGCACTCTACCATTTGAGCCACAGTTCTCTATCCAGCTCTTTTGCTGGTTAATCGAAGATCAGAGTTCTATGGACTTTCCTGCCAGGCTGGCTTCAGACCACCATCCTCAGATCTCAGCCTCCGGAATTCCCAAGATCTCCTGTGCCTGGCCTTCAAGGTACTTTCCTTTGACTAATCAAAACCTTGCAGGCTGAGCCATGACCTCCACCAGAGGGAGCCCATGAATAAACAATGTGATATCCCCAAGAAAGTGATTCCTACAAGCAGATAATACACATGCTTCTAAAAGAGAGCTACCCAAAAGTACACAAATTCCTCCCCAGAGCAGACAGCGCTGTACCTTACTAGCATCAAACACTAAGACTAAGATCCAAGCTCCTTCCTGTGGCCCTTCCCAACTCACAGAAGGCCTGCCCCGCCCCCTTCCCCTCATAGTCTGAGCTCAGGCATGCTGAGCCTTCTTCCTATTTCTAAAACAAACCAAAATTTCTGGCCTCGGGGCTTAAGTACATTCTGTTCCTTAAGTCTCTTTCCTCAGCCTTCCAATGAATGACTGCTTCCTCTCCCACTTCACCTAGGGCCTCCTGCCTTTTCTCTTCATTCTTCTTCTATCACCCTTGGAAGCTCTCTCTCTCTCTCTCTCTCTCTCTCTCTCTCTCTCTCTCTCTCTCTCGATTGTGGGTCTTCAGCTCAGGCCCTGCGTGCTGTCTCTGAGCCTCTTTGTGCTCTACCACTTTGAGCCACCGCACCACTTCTGGTTTTTTAGTATTTATTTGAGATATGAGTTTCACAGGGATTTTTCTGCTAGGGCTGGCTTTGAACTGTGAATTCTTTTCTTTTGGGTTCGGTCGCAGGGCCTGAACTCTGGGCCTGGGCGCTGTCCCTCAGCTCTTCAGCTCAAGGCTAGCTCTCTACCACTTGAGCCACAGCACCAATGTTAACTTTTTTCTTTTTGCTTATGTGGTGCTGAGGAATTGAACCCAGGGCCTCATGCATGCAAGGCAAGCACTCTACCACTGAGCCACCCTCCCAGCCCCATCAAACTGTGAATTCTTATCTCCAATAAACCACCTGAAAACCAGAAGTGGCACTGTGGCTCAAGTGGTTGCATGCTCACATTGAGCTAAAGAGCTTAGGGACAGCACTCAGGCCCAGAGTTCAAGCCCCATGACTGACAAAAAAAAAAAAAGCATTTCTGCCTGGGTGTGATAGCAAGCACCTGTGTAGTCCTAGCTACTGGGGCGACTCAGATGAGAGGATCCCTTATACCCAGGAATCTGAGGCCAGCCAGGGCAACACAGCAAGTCCCCATCTCAAAATCTTTTTTTGGGGGGGAGGGGTCCAGTTGTGGGGCCTGAACTCTGGGCCTGGGCGCTGTCCCTCAGCTCTTCAGCTCAAGGCTACTTGAGCCACAGCGCCACTTCCGGTTTTCTAGTGGTTTATTGGAGATAAGAGTCTCAGACTTTCCTGCCCAGGCTGGGTTTGAACCGTGATCCTCAAATCTCAGCCTCCTGAATAGCTAAGATTACAGGCATGAGCCACTGACACCTGGCT